TCATATAAAAAATAAAATTAAAGTTGTGTTCCTGATTTTCTAATAGAATTTCACAGTGGTTACAGTATATTTTAATTGTAAAACTAATTTAACCTTTAAATATGATGTAAACGGCTTAGTTACATCAAATAACTAAGCCACCGCTGAAAATTTTGCCAATTATTTTCATATTAAATTTGTGATTTCATTAGTTAAAACTTCAACACGTGATTAATTATAGTCATGTGATAGCAATTAAATTATGTCATTTGACATTATTCGCGAACTTTTTTTAACATTTTTTTTTTATTTCAATTTAACAGAATACCAAAAGTAAATAAATGTACTAGACAGTCTCAGGAAGCTATTAAACAATGCTAGAAGCAAAAAAAGTTTTAAAGAAATTGTGTTTGAGCTATCAGATGCCGAATCTGATGAATTTGATGAATCATGGTTTAGTAATTTTTGGATAGAAGGTGAGGAAATACGTTTCGATAATGATGAACTTATGGATGAAATGCAAGCATAGAAACCAAATATGTTACAATAACTGGTTGAAAATGCTAAGTCACATAAATGGGCTGTAGATTCGCGTAAGTCAGTATACAAAGGTGATATAGAATCAACATTGCATAATAAGAGAGCTTATTGGAAAAAAGCAGCTTTAGGTTCTAAAAAGATTACTGAAATATTTATAACAAATGAAACTACTGAACCTAATGTAGATAATGATAATCCTACATTTGATATTAGTAGTAATAATGATGATGATGATAAATTCTCATTAGAATCTCTGGATTTATTATTAAAAAAAAAAGAAAGATAATTTACGGCTTCAGATGGTAAGTCAATTCCTTCATCTAGTCCAAGATCAAGGATATACAAAGATGGATGCAAGTAACCTGCTTGCCTAAAGCTTAAATAAAGGTCCATAATAAGCACAACTCATCCACTCCTAGGCTAATCAATGATTTAGTAATGATATGATCATTACATCTAAACGTGGATATCATGCAAAAGTTAGATCTCTTCTTTTGTATGAAAATGTTAAATTGCAGGTTACTGAATATCTAAGCACATATAAATTTAAGTTAAATATTGCTGACTTTGTAAAGTTTATTTAGGATGAGGTTATTCCTACTCTTAGAATAGAAGAAAAAACAAGTATTTCATACTCAACTACACGTGAATAGTTGCATATGCTTAGTTGAGAATATAAAGACTATTCAAAAAATATTTATTTTGATGGTCACGAGCGTGAAGATGTAGTAGCATATAGACAACAATTTTTGCAATAATGGGCAGAATTACGAAAGCAAATAGCTTCTTATAAGATGAGAAATTAGATCAGATAATCTCACCTGTTCTTCCACATGATATTCCTGAAATTGTCCCGTTACCTATGATGAGTTGATCTTTTATGCCAATGATGATGTCATTAAAGCTTGGGGTTCAGTAGATGAGAGTCGAATTTATCATAAATCGCAAGGTCTTAGCATTTACATAAGTGACTTTCTTTGCTAATCTATCAGGTAACTTCAGCTTTCAAAAGAAAAATATACTATCAACGATTCACTTCCTGATGATGAGCAATTTATACACACTGAAGCTTGCATTACAATGTATCTCAGTACAAGTCGTGATGGTTGGTAGACAAATAAGGATGTTGTTAAACAGGTAAAAGAACGAGCAATCCCAATATTCGAACGTACTTACCTAAAAAAAGTTGCCCTATTTTTGTTCGATAACAGTTGCAACCACAATGCATTTGCTGATGATACATTAATAGTTTTGAGGATGAACTTGAAGGATGGTGGAAAACAACTACTCCTTCACAATGGTAAAATGCCTGATGGTTTGCCTCACATCATGACATTTATGAATATTGATAGAACGGTAAAACCTAAAGGTATCTAATGAGTTCTTGAGAAGCGTGGTTTATGAATGTCAGGTTTAAAAAGGAAATGCAATGCATGTATACAACATAATTCTAATTCTGATAAACTAGACTATTGCGCAATATGCCTCCTTTCTTTCCAGCCTGACTTCGCATCACAAAGGATACATCTACAAGAGGTAAATTGCAATTAATTATGTATGTATTTATTTATTTCAATATTCAAATATAATTAAAAAATACTTATCTTTTTAGGTTATTGAAGAAGCAGGATATATGTGCATGTTCTATCTGAAATTCCACTGCGAGCTTAATTATATTGAGTTTTTTAGGCAGAGGTAAAGCGGTATTCATGTCTTCATTACAATTATTTGTTCAATGACCTTAAGAAAGTCGTACTGTGTACATTAGATTCAATTAGTCTAATAAAAATTCACTAATTTGCATGTCATTCTGCATATTACATAAGTGCTTACGAGCTTAGACTTTCAGGTAAGGTAGCTATTTTTGCAGTTAAACGATATCACTCTCATCGTTAGATTCCTGAAAATGTTTTAGAAGAATTCAGAGATATGTAAAAATAAAGTTTTAAGCTACAATTAGCCAATTATATCCTATCATGTGTTTTATACAAACTAATAATATTTCGAACACGTGATAATGTAGGTGCTGAAAATTCTGCCATTACTATTAAAGTTAATGTTAAATAAAACCTAACTACAAAAATTTTTTATAATAAATTAAATTAAAATTATATGTTACATTAAAGGCCATATTAAGATCTATTAAATAATATATTATTTTTTAATATTTTTATAATTAAAAAAAATCCTTTACATTTTAAAATTACTGAAAATTATTAGATGCGACTAAGTCGTTTGTACCATATTTTCCATATTTCGATCAGTACAATGTTGCTCAATTCTAATATTGTAGCTATAGATTAAGAGACGTTAAATATGTTCATCATAAGTTTCCAATGCAAGTGTTAAATTAGCAAATGCTTGTTTTTGTCATATATAACTAAGCCATAAATGAGAAAAAGAAAATTGAGTAAACATTTGATATAATAATGTTTACATCAATATCTCTTTCATTATAGACATTTTTTTCTTGATTATTGGGATTGCAAAACAGGATAGATGCTACTTCTGGTAAGGCTTTTAAAAGTATTGTAATAAAATGAGTAATATCATGAGTACTTGTTACATCACTACGGTGATACTTATGGATATTGTGGAAATCATCTACATTGAGAACGACTAAGCTTTTATTCTGTTAAAATAAATGATTTAGTTTTAATTGTAAAACAAAACTTTTAATATATTTATATATATACATTGTTAATTAAAAACCTTCCCACTGTTGTTATGTATCCTTCTGAATGTTGAGCTTTCTGTCTTGCAATAGTTATGCATCTTATTGTCAAGCCTACACTAGCTAATGTCTCTATAGCTGATGAAGAAGTTTCAAATGCATCTAGTAAAAATCCAACCTCTGCTTTGATTTTGTTATTAAACTTATTATTAAAATCCCGCTAAAAAATAATAAAATGAAACTAATCTTCTTTTATTTTTTTCATTAGTCATGTTATTCTTAGCTTGTAGGTTAGTTTCAGTTACTAATTGATTAAAAAATCTTTTAACAATGGCTCAGCTTCCTTAAGCATTTTTGTGAATTCTTCTAGATCTAAAATGGGTCTTTCATTATATACTCGTTACCTTATATATAACACTCCTGCTATTAGTTTAATCTTCTTACTAAGAGGAATTAATTCTAAAAAAAAAATAAAAAAAAATAATTATATAAGAAAGAAGTTCAAAATGTGGCTATGAACAAAAAATGATTTGCTTAATTTGCTTACCTAATTTTGCTTCATTAAGCTCTACACATACATCATTATACGCAGCTTCTAGTTCCTAAAATTTGGCTTCAGAATAAATAACATCATTACGTATAACATATGATCTACCTTTAATCTGTCTTAAATTTTCTTTCAAAATCCTTTCTTTTGCTGATGGGTATTCTAATATATTAGTATAATCAGGATCTTTATCAGTTTCGTATAAGCAATGATAATACATCTTCGTATCTGGTTATAGTTTAAAAAATTCAATTAGCCATTCTGAAGTCTTTTTGAATTTCTTTTCTTCTTTATTATTTCTGACTATAGACCTATATAAATCGTGTTTGGGATGTAAACAGGTATTAGTTTTTGGTTTTTTTGCATTTACTATTAACTGATTATAGTGTTTCTGGCATAATGCTTTGCTGACCAAGTCTAAATGTTTGCTCAAACTTGGGATTGTAACTTGATCTGATATAAGAGATGCGCCAAACTGTTCATAATTGCAGATGACATCATCTTGACCCTCAAAGTCACAATGCTGAGCCTTCCTTTTTCTTTTTTTTCGTTTGAAAGAGGTATTTCTTCGCTGTGGGGGTTTTGTGTGGTTATTTTACATCTATTTCTATTTTAACAAGCCACTTATGGTAATAATTAAAAAAACTCTTCTTAGCTAACTTCTGAATTACCTTGTGAACTACCAAATTATTTTGATAGTTTATAAAGCAGGACTTATATTTTATAAATTTTTTTATCGCAACCCTTGCGAATTCATCCCTGTGGCTGCGAATCCATTTAAAGTTAGATGATCGACATTCTTATATAAATTTACTATATGACGATCATTTTGAAAATCAACTAATCAGAATTAAGTTCGCTATGCTTATCAGCTCAACTTCGAGAGATAGTACAACTTCAAGCGAAACAGTAAGCTCTGTTGCCAAGACAAGGTGAATAAAATTAAAATTGGTTGTGTAATTATAAATCCTTTAGGCTAACTCTTCAGAATTGTTCTTAATTTATTATAATAGCGATGCTACCTTTCAACCTTCTAAATCTAATGACGTATTAACAAAGTTTCGAAATTTGTGGTGGTCTGATGGAAATATACACCCGAGTGCAAACTGGGATGAAGCTTCATAAGTAATTTCTTGCCTCACTGCCTTCGTCGTTTGCATGTGATTAACATCTGTTGTCGATTCTTGGATGCATAATTTAAGGTTACCCTATTTACTGAAAAGTGATGTTGATTGGAAGAAATATTCAGAGTGAACTGATATGTATAATGTGCATGGAAGATGGGAGTGGATAAATGGAAATGTTTATGTGTATGAATTGCCCTTAGGGCCTCATGAGTTTTGTACTGATGCAATCGAAGGTCGAGTTCGTTTAGCAGATCCACAAGAAGAGCTCATTTATTCAAGATCTACACATAAGTATTTAACTTTTTTTTATTATTATTAATAATGCTTCAGATAACTCGAACAGCTTTCAATTATTGAATAAAAGGTACAAAAGCCAGTAATAAAGGAAAAGAAGCAGACGGATCTTTTTTATCATTTGACAAACCTGAAGTAAATTCAAATGGACGTGAAGGTCCTAATTCTGTATGTGGAGCTTTAAATATTTTCTATTATCATAATCAATCAAGTTTCTAATATCGGTGATTACATTTTTAGGTTTTACCGTGGCCCAATCTCATAATCGAAGTCGCTTTTTCAGAATCTGAAGCACATTTATTAAACGCAGTAAAAGATTATTGGCTTCAGCCAGGTAGAGCTCATGATGCAATTGCCGTAAAATTAATACGATCTGATACAATTATTTCAAAAATGAAAGTAAGTAATAATTAAAGATATAATTTTTTTGGATTAGTTTCTTTACTATCATTTTTACGATTTTTATTTTTGACAGGTATGGCATTTTTGCACTGATGAAAGGACATAGAGTGAGGAATTAATACCTGTTTCGGTATGATATATTATTACTTAATTAATATAAAGTGGATTTATAGAAAATGATTTTAATATACTTATATTTAAAGGAATTTGGATTCAATACCATTGATGACAAAGGCCAATTTCTTATTCAGCCTCAACAACATACTATTGATCTTAAAGTAAAATGCTTATTTCATGGGATGCCACCAACTTTTCAAATACCTACATCAATATCCGATCCTATTACCATAGATTTTTATTATGTCTTACGTGCTATGAAAAATGTACTTAAGGTTTCATAAAAAGCATCTTTTATTTTTTTCTGATATCACAACTCTTTGACATAATGAAAATAATAGTAATATTGTAACTCAAACTGATAAAAAGTTATAATAATGCAGATAATAAAGTTCGACCAACCTTTGCGATAATCTTATTTGGACTGATTTTTCAATTGAGATCTTATCGAACTGTTCCTGATTACGAATTAATGATGCTTTTCTTTAAGATCCAGGATTCGAAACAATTAAGCCGGATTCACCTTAAAAATTCCTTAGGCCGTAAATGTTTACCGCAAAATATATAAAAATAGGGTTTTGTTAGTGATTTACTTTTATCCAATCAACCCGGCAAAGGTAAACAGAACAAATTTTCGGGACAAAAACCGGTCTCGATCGTTTAATCTTGAATTTTCCAGCACATTTAAATTTTGTCACGTGATGCAAAAATAAATGGTAATCTTTGTATTTTAGCCAAACTATCAGACAGATCGAAATTAACCATAGTGATCAGAAGTTTTTAACGTGAGAATCATACCTTATGGAACCCTGCTTTGATCCTAGAAAAAAATATAATATAAATAATAGTAATATAAAGAGACTTGCTTTATTAAATACCTAGATAAAGTAAGTACAATGATTGGGGTGTTATTCTTACCCGAGGCAAACGAAATTTTGCTATAGAAAAATAGATCAGTCAAGAAAAAAAATCGCATTTCACGCACAAAAATTTGAAGCTCAAATTATCGGTAAACTTTATTATTTTTTGTTAACATATTACCAATTTTAATTACAAGATAAAAGCGATTATGCTGCAAAAAGCATTAAATTTTGTTTGTATACATCAACTTGAAAATTAGTAAAGCCGCAATTATTAAAGTAGTTGAATTAAATTATAAACTAATATAAACTAATCAAGCCTGAAAATCGAAAGAGATGAATTAGTTCGAAACAGAAGCAGGTTGAAACCAAAAGCTTTAACTATTTCGCGCTTTCTTCTTAGTGGATGAATAGATAATTCGTGTGGTCATTTATTGACAGGTCTTGCTCTCATTATCATTACTCCAAAGAAAGTCTTGTATGGATTCCGAACTTTCGGATAATAAACGCTAGATATGGAAATGTTAGCTCCACATATATATATATATTTTCTAATCATTTATACAAACCTCATATTTTAATAGACCCATCACTATCTCGTATGATTCCTTCATATCTTTCCATGATTTCGGAAAAGGAATTTTCAATACTTCCACCATTGTGTACACTTCAGCATATTTGAGACGGAATTCATAGATAATCAACTGATTTACTGTAAATTTCGAGAGTTAGGAGTTAATAATGTGAAAAAGAAAGCGATCAAACACAAATAAGGACTTACAATAAGATTGCATGGCGTAAAGTCTAAGCATTCTAATATTTGAATTTGGGCGAATTTCTGCCAATCGATTCATTAACGTCTTCAGCATTTTTATGATTTTCATTCGATCTCCTTTGAAATGAGTCCAATCTGATTTTAACGGAGGCCCACTGACTTCAATGATGGAAAATTCTTCGTCTTCCTCTTTCAGAGTAATGATTGCGTCTATTTTTTTTCCGGGAGATCTGCGATTATCATCCTCCTTTTGAGTGTTACATTCTTTAGCACTTGCCTTAAGGCAAGTCTCCCCATATTTGGCACGCCAATTTTCTTTATGTTTTATAAAAATTTGATCCAAAATTGGACCTAGAACACTAACGATGTAAGTTCCTTCTGATATCGGTTCTAGAAGCAAATTTGTCCCTTCAATCAACTTTATCCTGTATAAATAATAATTAGTCTCATTTTCATTAGGGATTAGGAACAAATGTAAATCAATAAAAACTCACATGTGGTCGACAAAATTCAGTGTGAAAACTCTCTCAAAAGTATTGTAATGATTTTTATATTGTTGAAGTGTATTTTTAGTCTTGTTAATATCACGCATAATAATTTTACTTAATAACGATTTGATCTCCTGTTCATTTTGCGTTTCTTTTTCTTCCTCGCTTGTGTCTTTAAACATTTGTTGAACCGTATCTTTATCTAGTGTATTTAGAAAACCATTTTTATCTTTAGCATTGAAAAAATTACGTCGTAATACTCGGACTTTGTTTTCGGCAGATTTATTTCCATTTGATATTCTGTTAATTTTTTTCGGATATCAAGACCATTAACAATCCAAGAAATATTTCCCCCTCCAATAATAGTTCGGTCCGCGTTGAATTCTTCTTCGGTATCGTCTTCCTCTTCAGGCTCACGATCATGTTTCCTGACTTGTGAATAGGATATGAAG